ATGACTAGCACATGTACAAAAACATACAAAACAAAGAACATTGCAACTTGTTTGTAACATCCATATCGCATGAGTTGCAGTAGCACCAATGATCCACTTCCACAGTTTGTTTGACAGTGATGAGACAAATAGTTATTCATTTGAGTTTAATTACAAAATGAATCGATGTGGACAAAGAACCCATTAGGGATAACCGTACAACTCTATGTGTTGTGTTCTGTGGAAAAGATTATGAGCTAATAAATCCCTCTTTACTTTTTCTAGATTTTATGAAAAATCTGTGAAGTTTGACAAAACTCTTAATTTAAAAAGCATTTTGATATAACAAGACAACTTTGGGTTTTGCAGAACCTCCGTGGATCTCACAAAAACAAGTCAGGATCTTGTCAAAGTATGCCTTCGTCCTTTTTTTTTCTTCCTATGGCTCTTATAGGGGCTCAGAGTTTCAAAGCCAAAGTAGATTTGTGTCATAACGATGGCTGTGTCTGAACACCCGCCATAATCGCTATATAGGGCACTATTACCCCATTTACACTACCCTTGGTAAACCGTGCCGAGACCGGTCCGAGCTCAGTAAGGGAGATAACTTATTGTGTGTAAATGGAAAGCAAACTGAACTGAGCTAGAAACAACCGAACTGCGCTAACTGCAGACCAGTTCCAGAGGTGGGCTCAGCTCGGTTTTTCCCTGGCTCGGTTCTCTGATAACAAGAGCGCATGAGCAGAACGCGTCATCTCCGTCTGGCTGCACAGCCCGATTCACACTCCATTCCAGTAGTTGGCGCTAATGCTCCTCCGGAAGTTGCTTGCCAACCAACACAAAACAGAAGAACATCAACAACTATAAACATCCCCGAAAGGTTGCCGCCTTCACCTGACCCTCCGCAAAAACCGAAGTACAGCAATAATAATCAAGCATAACTTCCTGAATGTGACGGGCGCTGCCATTTTGATTTGCTTGATTCCCTCCTTCTTCTTCATGTGTTTTATGGCGGTTGGCAAACAACTTTTGGTGCATTACCGCCACCAACTGCTTGATTGCCTCCTTCAATACTGGCAGTAATACCACAGTTCGTCACTAGGAGGCGAGGAACCGAGATAGAGTGACGTGTAAACGGTCGTCAGAACCAAGCTCCGCCTGGTTAACTGATCCGAGCTCAGATCGGGCTCGGCATGGATCGGTTTTTCAAGGGAAGTGTAAATGGGGTATATATAACGGTTAAACCATTTTAGATGAGTGACCATTATGTCTAGTAGATGAAAAAGTCGTGGATTTGAAATTTCCTACAATGCACCTTGAAAAGTGATAGCCATCGATGGTCACTATACACGCAGGTATGTCCCATGATTCTTCATGGGATTTGTTGTCGCAGCGACAAATAAAGATGGTGCAGGCATCGTGCGGGGAGGCGGAGTTTGTGACTAACCGGGAACGAAAAGTAGTGATCATCTGTCCGAACGGTCAGTTAACTGAGTTCATTATAAAGTTAATCATACATAGTAATTGAGGAATTTAGTGATTAGGGGGAATGTTTGGACACAGGCGATGTCTTTATTCATAAGAAAGAAAGGCTGGTACTGATTATCTCTAAGAAAAGGCTAACTTCAACAAAGCTACCGTAATACAATAAAGCAGAGTAAGACTTCCTCAAATCTGACCTCACCATCTAAAGTTTTGTCGTTTAAGATCGCTGAGCTTTTCTCCTTGGTTATAAAATTTTGATGTTCATCACAAACGAGTGTTTTAACTCTGATTTTTCTGCTTACAACTGAAGAAAATTTGAGATAAAAGCTCTGCTTGTAGGTTTGGTTTTTAGTGCTACCTTTGATCCTTCAGCCCACAGACTGCTTAAACTGAGCAGAGGCAACTAAAGTCGCCGAGGTCTGACACTTGGTGAATAGTGGACACGGAGAATAACACTGTACAAGTCCCTCATTGAGGTTAGAATACATGTCGCCTGAGAGGGCAAATCAGCAAGGATGGAAAAACAGAAACGGACAAACACAGGGAGAAATTAAAGTAGACGTTACACAAAGACAGTAAAGTCATAAAGCACTTCATTGAATAAACCGGAATGTTTTTGAAAGAAAGCACAAATGGGCTTAAATACTAAAAAAAATAAACCACCAGCGAGCGATGAAAAAAACAAATGTTTCTGAGCAAATTTACGATAAAATTTGGTGTGACACATATCCCATTAGTAGTTGCTTTTGGGAAGTCATCCTGGACAGAACACATTAAGCAATTCAGGTACATGCAGCTCAAACTTTCCAAAGACAGACCCAAAAAATTTGATTCTTAGACACATAAGTTCACAAAATAAATAGAATTAAAAAAAACAATGCAAACACTGAACATACATTGTGCTCCAGACCCTAATCTTCAAACATCCTAGAAACAGTTAAAAGGAGAAACTAGAATATGGCGGAAACGATTATTAGCGTTATTTTGGTGTAGCATGTGCTTAGATGGCTAGCTAGACAAGCTAGTCAGAGATTAGAGATAGCTAGCTAGCTAGGCGATAGATAACTTCTGACGTTCATATTGAAACATTACATTTTATTGTTGCATCATAATTTATTGCCATGGTGTTTATTGTTTCTTTGACCGTGGTCAGTTAGCTTCACTTTCGCACTATTAGCATTTCTAGCTAAAATCCGTTATTTTTCAACTGCCTCAAATTTCACTATCATTCTAACAAATATTATACAATTTTTTTTTCCCCTCACATAATTTGTCCAATTCTAATGGCTTCTAGTAAATAACTGTGATTGTTGATTCTGTGATATATTACAAAGCTGTCAAACAATGCAAATATCATGAAAACAAAGAAACAGTTATCAGTGTTACTCATTATGTTTGTAGAAACTAATGGAAATTACAAACAAATACTTAAGGAAATTTTTTAATGTAGAGACGATTTGTTAAATCTGACTGCTTAAAAACTCAACAAAATAAGATGTTATAACATGATCTATTCTAAGTCTATAGTTTCCAATAAGAAATCCAAATTTTGTAATTTGATTTTATACAGATTTTTAGAATAGCTACTTAACTGGATTTAGCTAGAAAATGTGCGACAAAAGCAAGCAGTGCTTGAAAATTAAGCCTTTCCATTCGACAGTCTAACCCAAGCAATTTCTTTTTTCTTTGTTTAATGTTATATTTAATGTGAGGTATTTAGTATTTAGCTATTTTATACTGATGAGTACTCTGCTCAACACTGCGTCATTAAAGCACAAATATACGAGCATGATGCTAACAGTAGTGTGATTAGCCGCTCTTTATACAGTTAGCATTAGCTTTACCAGCACAGATTCCTGCTAGTGTTTTTCTTTGAAAGAAATTGTAATCAAAATAGAATATTTTACTTCAAAGTAAGGCAGTTTTAAGTATTATACTCATGAAATCACGTTTAATGTAAAATTGAAGCTGTTTTAAGTCCAGTACATTGATACAAGAAGAAGCGAAAGAATTAGCGCACTGGTTTTGTTTTTGCTAGCAAAACCCCTAGAAATGTAAAAATGTCTTGATTGTTGTCGATCCCAGACTTTCAATCTATAGTTTGTTCCTCATCAGTATAGGAATTTAATAGGCTCCTGGAAAGGATACCAACTTTAAATTTCCAGATGTGTTTTAAAAAACAAGCTAGATTAATGTCAAAATCCATAGAGCTAACTTTTTCAATAATGCCAATATATGGGCTAATTTTTTTTTCTTAAAATATTTATCTTTCACTGTATTAATAACTTCTTCATAAACTACCGCATTACTGAAAAGCTATATTCAACTGGTACTATAAAATATTTTTCCTACAGTTGTGTGTGTTAAAATTACACATATCTATAGTAATAAACAAAAACAAAACCAGTAATGGTTGTACTGTACCAGTCCTAATGTTTTGTTTGTTGTGTACTCCAACTAGAACAAGCATGGACTATAGGTATTATTTCGTAATTGTAGAACCAACACAAATTTCTAACAGCACCATAGAGGTTCTACAATTTGCATCACTTTTGAAGAAATCTGGTGGATCTAGAAAGTTTCTGTAAAATATATTCTATATTATAACAAACCAAGAGACGCCTTATAATAGGAGACTTTGTTTTTTGGCCCAAATACAGATAAAATTTTTTGACCCATACCATCAATAACCATAAACAGAGCATAGTTCAAGCCAAGTCTGGTTCTTGTAAACAAACTAGCTTCATTTAAGGTAATCTCCACCATTGGAAATGTCTCAGCAGATGTATAAAAGAATGGCAATAATGGCTCTAGTAGGGAAACTGGTCACTGTATCAAACTGTACTGAAATATGGCTTTAATTACTTTTTTTTTTGTCAAACTCAGCCAGAATTATGAGTAGCTGTGTTTCTATTTACCAACAACTTGCACAAATTATAATTGGAAAGCACGTTAATTTTGAAACACTTTTTCGACAAAAAAAAGTTAATACACTTCATTAAGGTGGATTTTTTAGTTGCATCGAAATTCTTATATTTTGCAAAACTGCGATGCAAACAGTTTTTAAATATGCGAGTCATGTAAACTGCAGCTGGACTTTACTGCCTTGGAGTTTGCAGGATAATGCCATTCTGTTTAGACTTATGGTGTAAACAAACATATTCCTGCACAATTTTAACTGCGTTTGTTATTTAATTTTAATATCGCAATTGCGATACTTTGCATTTCAAATTGGTGGAATATCGACATATTTTTGCGCACATTTGTAATAGAATTGCAGCTAGTTGCATTATTTAGATTACGCTCATTCACATAAATCCTTCTAATCCGGGACTCCAAAATTTAATCCAAGCTAGAGTCAATTCGTGACAAGAAGTCAATTTATTACGCGGTAAAGGTGTGTTCATGCTACTCAGTGTATTTCCAAAAAATAGTATGAATGGAAAAAAATTACTTTCTAAAAACAAGCTTTTGGTGGGATTACTGATAAAAAATAATTTCTGCAGATGATAAAACTTTCCTTCTTCCTTTGTTTCCTACTTTAAAGTTGTGTTTAAACTGAATGCATGTCGGAACAGCGTAACGTAAGCTTTGTAACAGCAAACATTGTTAGAAGTTTCAGTGAATTAGTCTTGCATGCAAAAAGCAAGGAACAAGACAAAGCTGCAAGCACCTCCACATATGACACACCCACAAATGTGAACCAGAGAGGACAGAAAAACCAAACCTATCTTTACCTTAGTGCATATCCTTCTCCAAAGCTGTTGAATATCATTACTTTGGAGTAAACCCCAGGATTTTCCTCTCTTTAACTGCTCCAGCATATTTCTCTTTTCATTTTAAACCTCTGCTAAAGTTAACGCCTGAAGACAGAAAAGCTCAAAATGAGAGATTTCAAGGTCGTATTCATCCTGGATCTAATGCAGCTTTATCCCTGCTACATACTCCTCAAAGCACAATGTCTAATCGCCTAAACCTTTGACGTGGCTGATCCATGCATGCAACCACTGAACTGAAAATCTACGCAAGTAAGGCAGAGTTACTGTAGTTACAAGAGGAGCTAGAACCAAGAGGATGTACAGCTCTGACTCATCTCTATAGCAGTGCCAGTAGGGTGGAGAGAAAGATAGAAAGACAGACAGAGGAACAACTGTGGTTGTTGCTGTAGAAAAGCACAAGAAGGTAAGCAAAGGTAGAAAATGCAGGGAAACCTCAAGAGAAACCAAGCGGAGAGGAGAAACAAGGTAAAAGGTAAAACTGATGAGCAGGAATTTGTGCTGGCTTCATCATAGCGGAGTACTAACAGGTAAGAACACACATTCAGACATGCACATACATATTACACTGTGACTTCACTGCAAGTCTCAAAAAGCCTTGTTGGTGTCCGTTGCTGCCAGGCTAAGCACCACACTTTAACAGACCAACAGCTCTTCGTCGTCTCGTCTCTTCCTGTCCTCCTCCAATGCACCGCTCACGCTATAATCCTCCCCATCTCTCTCTTTTTTTTTTCCAAAAGTCTCGTGTTGTCCAGCGCCTCTCTCGTTGCAGTCCGTTTAGTGAAAGCAGAATTGCACAGAAGCACAGAAGAAGTAGAAGGAGGGCGTGGTTTGTCGTTTTTCTGCAAGTACAGGCTGTTTCACGGGTGTCTGGATCGGTCGAGAGGGACGGAACGGGCTGCTGACTGGAAACTAGTGGGGCAGCGGGACCAGGATATCCACGTAGTTGATGGGGAAGAAGCCCGACTGGCCGTTGATCATGCCCTCGTACCAGTTCTCGTCGATCTGATTGGTCAGAGTGATGATGTCGCCCTCCTTGAAGCCCAGCTCGCCCTCGTTCTCTGGCTCGAAGTCGTAGAGTGCTCGACAGCAGGGCTGGTCCATCGGTGCTAAGGTCAAAAAAACAGGAGCTGATTAATGAGCCGCTGATCAATCAGACCAATCAGACAGAGAACAACACATAGATGTTACAAAATCCAGCTTTCACATATTATTTTATCAAAATCTAGAACAAATGATGTCTGTCTTATCAGGTTTTGGGGCGACTGGGATAACAAAAAGGAAAGACACAAAGTTTAAATGATGAAAACTTTAGGTAATAGAAATGCACCTTATTAAAGTTTATATCTAGCTAGCTAAATTAGCTCTATTTATGCAAGTTATGGTACAAAGGCCAAGTTTGCATCTTGTTTTCATTTAAAACCTTTACTGCTTAATTAATCTTAGTCCAAATGCAATAGCAGTAAAAAAGATTAGAGTTTTTAAAATGTATTTAGATGTGTTATACTGTCTAACTGACAAAATTTTAAAATCATTAAGTTGTAATGATGACCAGTCCTTCAATTCTTACTCCTTCTTCATTCATAAAGGAAATTATATAAATATCTGTTTAATTAGATGTTGTTTGGATCATTTTGACGTAGAAAAAGCTGCTTAAAGGTTTAAAAACTACTGTTTCTACAGTCAAAGTTTTGTAATGGTTAGACAGAGAAGCTCCCTGAATGGAGCATAAACTATTTCAGCCTTAAACTTTAATTAATGTAGGAACAAATTCAGCAAACAAAGGAGAAAACCAATCATCAGTGTCAGGTAGAGGCCACAGCAGTCACCTCTAATGCTTCTTGCTATTCTGTGCACACCAGGGGTCTGCAACCTTTAAAATAAGCATTTTCCCCTGAGTCCAGCTAATATAAAGGCAATCTGATCATCAAATATAACAATGCTTCCTGATAAAAGACACTTTATTGTTAAACATCTGCTATAGGAAATACGTTTGTTCTTTAAAAAAACAAACATCTTATTTATATTTTTAGGTTTTACAATTCAGGAAGAACAAGCTGCTTTTAGGAAATGTGGAAAGCTGTGTAAAACAAAACTGTTTCCAAACCTGTAATGAGTAAAAAAAAATATGTTTAAACATATTATTGTTTTTTTTTTTAAATATCACTTTGCTGTGGAAATTCAATGCAATTATTGTTTCAAAAACTGCTAATGGATCTTAAACTGCCACATGTCATTATACCATATTCAAAACTATTACCTGGTTCATTTTTATATGTGATGCACTGTAAATGGCCTTGAGATGACATGTGCTGTGAATTTGCACTATATAAATAAACTGAATTGAATTGCATGAAGAGCCATTGTTGAAGTTAAAAAAAGACCAGGGTTGCAGACGCCTGTTTTACACCCTTACATTCCTCTCTGCTTGTATTTTCAGAGAGATTCTTTTATTTTGAAGGTCCGGAAAGTAAAAGAACATATCTTTGGTTGCAATGATATTTTTTATGTGAAAGTGTTATAAAAACTAGATCTTAGAAAGAAAAAAACTTCTGACTTTTTCACAGGAGATGAAGCCTGTTGGGCTTTGAATAAATCTTACAGATCATTCATCTTTTTCAATGTTTTGAAGTGAAATCATTCTAAGGGAGCTCTAGTTTACTCCAATAATTCAAAAAGCCAATCATACAGATATATAAATTATTTACTTTAATAACAGAAAGTTGTCTTATAATAATTTTTCTTCTATTTGTTTCTACACTTGAGCTTGTGATTTGGTATTTTTGTATTTATCTTTGTTTTTCATTTTTCTGCTCAGTTATTACAAGTCAAATTGGATTATTTTGTTTTGAAGTCTGCCTTGTCAGATTATATCTATAAAAGAGATTACATATATTAAAATGTATTGGAAATAAACTTGAGCTCTCACCATGAGATAAATAGGGAAATAAATACGGCCGCATTTTAAGGTAATATTGCAAAATGGATGGAAATATCTTTAGTAAAATACATATTTTTTGCTATTGCCAAAAATATTAATAAGCAGCTCAGGTTTAATTAAATGAAACAGTTTCAGTCTGCCCCCTGCTGTCAGAAACTAGTACATGCAGCGTTTTTTCCAATTTTGGTCAATTTTAACTATGATTTTTAATATAACTGAACTTTAGTGATCTCAGATTAGAGAAATTTACCTCTGCATTAACCCATCCCCTTGGGGAGCAGTGGGCTGCCATTGTGCGGCGCCCGGGGAGCAGTGTGGGGTTGAAGGGTCTTGCTCAGAGAGCTAGAGTGGCAGTCTGTGGGAGTGGAGCTCAAACTACCAACCTCAGGATTCCATGCTCTATGCCCTAACCACTAGGCCACCCTCCCCATAAATAAAAGATTGCCACTCGGTGGCAAATTCACTATTTTGTTAAAAGTGATAGAAAATCAATGAAAATGTATAACTGTTTAAAAAAAATGATTTTATTTCTGTTTAAATTGTAATTTAACCCTGTGAATCCACAGAGGTACCATAGCAGGTACCTCTGGTGTTTACTATAAAACATCCCTCCTTCACCACTGTTTACCAAATGTTCCTTGTTGAGCTTTTCTGCGACTGATTTGGGGTTGGCCTAAAGCTGCATAATACCACAGCAGATGGATATATTTCCCTCTCCTACCTGGTGATTTTCCTGGAGACTTGGCTGAGAGAATCCCGCCATTGTGGCTCTCGCTGGGGGGCAGAAGCTCCAGGGTCATTTTGGGCTTCGGGGTGTACTCCTTCCTGGGTTTACTGGACACCTCTTTTATCCTGAAGAACAAAAACAGTTAAGTTGATGTATCCTTCCTGGCTTATTTCTGTTCTGAGGTAGGAGGACGGATCGATACCTGTCCTCCATCTTGCTGGAGAGCTGTTGGAGGATTTCTGAAGAGCGGCTGTGGTATTCCAACTGGGCCTGGACCAGTGCTGCCAGCTGGCTCACCTGCTCTATCTGCAGCACACACACACACACACACACAGGCTGTTATTGCTCTCAAGCTGGGCCTGAGGCTGGTTTGGTAGCACAGAGCAAACAGGCTTTTGTTTCCTCACTGCTCCAGTAAAAAAATACAGATCTGGATAGAAATGTGGAGCCGACAGAAAATGAGGCCTTTGACAAATAAACACATTTAAAATGTCTAAAATGGTTTTAGTTGTTGAGGATTTTGAGTTTTCTTTCAGATTCAAGGTTATTATTCTTATTTATCAAAACACTTTCTGTACTTTTAATGGAAAATTGTGCTGAGAGGAATCATCTAAAAGGTTTAGTTCTCCTAAAAAAAGGTCTTTTAGGGTAACACCTCATTCATTCCTGCTTAATTAAAAATAATTTGGCATAAAAAGGCAAGTTTCCATTAAATTTTCAAACATCTCCAACAGAAATTGTGCTTAAATCCTTAAAAATATCTCATCTGTTGATCTCAGTGTGATTAAAAATGACCAGAAATGATTAAAATGCAGCAGGAAGTGATGAAAAAAGAAAGTAAAATATTAAAAAACAATAAGAATGATAGAAAACATATAAAAATATCTAATAAAAAGTTACTGTAATACCTTAAATAAATATAATCTGTGAAAAATCTGTACAATTAAGTATAGATACTTACCGGTAAACAATGTGAAAGTTAATAAGGTACAAATAATTTGAAATTATTGAAGTAAATGGAAAATGGAAATAAAACAAAAACACATGATTTTGTTATGTTACTAATGTTGTTACTAATTATTTGACCAAACAAAAAGAAAAACTCGGGCAACAATAAAACTTAAATAGAATACATAAGGAAAATGTTTAAAAATTGTAAACAATATTAGTAAAAGGAAGTGAAAATATTCTGAAAATAGGTCTACATAAGTACATTTCCCCCCATTTTATTAGACTTTTATTCGTTCAAATAGAGTTGAACCTTTATTTATAGGGGGAGTCGCCTTAAAACTAATTTATATCGAATCCTAAACCTTTAAATTTATTTGAATCTTCCTATAAATGAGGATTTAATCAATTTGAGCAGAGATCTCAGTAATTCCTATGAGTAGCTGCCATTTCTCTTACGTCGCTCTCCAGCAGGTTGAACATGCTCTGCTCAGCGATCTCTTTGCTCTCGTCAAACTTCTCCAGCGCCTGTTTGATCTCGTCATCCTGCACTTTCCCCTGACGTTTCTTCTTGTAGTCGAAGTCCAGGCGACGGCCCTCCATCTTCTTCAGATGATGCTGCGAGGGCGGAGCAGATTTCAGATGCAAGTCTAAGATGATACCCAGAACTGGGAAGATCCTTCTTCTTCGGTAATGGAGCCTCTTTGCAGACGTCGACTCACCTGGATCTCCTTCAGATCTTTGTCGTGGAGGTTCTGCAGCGGGTCGATGAAGTTCTGTTTGACCTCCATGTCCAGAGCATCTTTCACCTCCCCGAGCTCCTTCATGGCCTCGCCGGCGTCGATCAGCGCCAGTCCTGAAGGAAACAGAAAATGTACGATTACAGTTGGACTCCTCAGTTTACAGGGATGTTCTTCTTGAAGTGTTTTGGTTTATTGACCATAAAAGGCCTGTAGGGGGCGACACAGAGCTCTCTGAGGGTTCATCATTTCTCTCATCACTGCATGTCTCATGGAAATCTAAACATGGAAATCTAAATAAAAAAGCTTTAATGCTTTAATTCATCATGTTTAGTCTCAAATCTATTAGTGCAACATTTAGTTCATGCTAGAACGGACAATAAAGCTTTTATTTTGAAAGAATACTGGAGAGAACTGAAGTAAATATGTTATTATTCAACCGCTGATCTTTTTAATAAAAAGTTCCCAAGCTTAAAAAGACATTAGGGTAGAAACTTATCCTTTTTTGAGACTTTTTAAGGCCTTTAATAAAACAAGCTGTGCTTCTCACGCTCAAATAAAAAACACCTCAGCTTTGCATCAACAGGAAGTTCCAACTTACCAAAGCAGGACTCCTCGCCCAAGTCCCGCCCGAACCTCAGCATGGCGTCTCCCAAAATGCTCTCAGCCTGCGGGTAACCGGGCCCCTTTTCCTGCCCGCGGATCTTTGACATGGTGTTGATCATACTCAGCTTGGCTCTGGATGCTGAAAGCGAGCAGAGCGTATGGTCATCAGCACAGACAGCCATGTTTTTATCCTGCAGCAGCTATAGGAGTTTTATTTATACCTGGGTTTGGCTGGAGGTACTCTGTGGTTTTGGTCATGATGTCCAGCACTGCTCTGCTGGTGATGTCCACCTTCTGCAGGAGCCAACGAGTCAGAAACAGGTAAACGCATCATAGGTTAGAACAAAGAGCAATAACACTGCTGAGATAAAACCTTCACAGAATTAAAAAAAAGAGTGAATCTTAATCAGAACAGCAAAAAAAAAAAACGTTCTCCTTTTATTTCAGTCTATTCATATATTATTAGCCAGGGGGAACATATTGTGTCCCTGTTGTGTACACTGGAAAAATGTTCTAGAAATAAGTAAAAAAATATCTTAAATTAAGTGTATTTATCCTTCATTTGAGTAGGTAAGTGAGATAGTTTGCCAATGGAGTATTTTTACTCTTAAAATAAGATAATTAGATAATATGCACTTAAAAGAAGACAATACAATTGTGTTTTCTTACTTTAAGTGTAAATAGTCTGGTTCCATTGGCGAAATGTCTCTTTTACCTCCTCAATCCAAGAACAGATGCACTTATTTTAAGAAAAAATTACATATCCAGATTAAATTTTTTTTCAGTGTAAATATATATATGCATTTTTCATTTATATGTTTACCAATTGTTTTCTTCCAAAGGCCTCAGTTAAAGCCAGCTGAAGCCAAAGAGCATCTTTTGTTGAGTTTTTATAATCAATTATGCAGAAAAGTTCATAAATAAATGTTTTAAATAAAAAAAAAAAAGTCAAAAAGCCTTTATTGTCATCATATTCTGCAACGGATACAATGAGATTTTGGGACTTCCATATCAGCTACCGTAAAATAAATAAAAATGAAAAAATAAAAAAAATATATTAATATATTAAAAGGAAAAGGAAATGTAGTGTAATAATGAGT